AGGAAGTTCCATCTGAACATGAGGAAGAACTTCTTCCCTCTGAGGGTGACAGAGCACTGGAACAGTCTGCCCAGGGAGCTTGTGGAGTCTCCTTCTCTGGAGATATTCAAGACCCACCTGGACAAGGTCCTGTGCAGCCTGCTGTAGGTGACCCTGCTTTGGCAGGGGGGGTGGACTAGGTGACCCACAGACGTCCCTTCCAATCCCGAATATTCTGTGATTCTGTGACTCCAGCAAACACTGCAAATGGCAGCACTATTTGGGGCAAGACCTTTAACAGCTGGTGGTCCATACTTTTCCACATACAAGGCTGGCTTAAGACTGATTCATTAACTTGACTTTTCCTGCATACTACGGGATGGTGACAGAATAGTTGTCACCCTGTGAGCTCGCCACGCTTCTAAGGCTTCCAGCCACCAGGCTTATAAATAAATAGCTGATTAAAAAAAAAAAAAAAAAAGATTTTTTTCCCTAAAATTTAGAAGAAACCACAAGAAGAACAAACAACCTCTCTGCTTGTCAGAGTGGTTGAAACCACTGTTTGGACTCAAAATGAGCTGTATATTAAAATTTGAATGAGGAGCACAACACAAAGGCAAAAAAATGAACTTTTTAAGAAAAGCCCAACCCAACAGCCCTAAAGTCCAAACAAATCCAACCTTATATTCAGACTAAGGATGAAGGCAGAAAGCTAGGAGGACTTGGAAAAACCCTAATTTTTTTTTTTTTTGCACTCCCTGTTTGAGAATGTTGCTGAGGGGAAAGCAAACTCCATAGGGAGGCCAGCCTGCAACTACCAGAGCTAAACCTCATAGAATCATGCCGTTTGATGCTAAAAAATTCGTATCTGTTCCTGAAGAATCATTTTTTGCAACTACTCCCAAGACACACTGATAGCTTACAACTCTTCAAGCAAAAGAGTGATCTTGCTTATTTAATAAATGATTTCAAACTACCGTCCTCTTTCATGTTAAGCAGTAAGCGAGAATCTGATCTCCAATATTTGACAGCACTGTTAAACTATTCAGAATGCTTTTTATTTAATAGAAGTGTAAAATATGAGAAGGCTAGAAGGAATGTCTTACCAAGGAAACTCAATTAGCATATCAGTGTTTAATACTGGGCTCTAAAGAGCCTAAGGTAACATCTCAAAATACCTGAGCTGGAGATATATGAACTGGAGAGAGATTATTCCAGAGGGAAAGAAGTTCCCTACAAAAAGCTGAACATGTCAAAGAGAAAAATGAAGAGGAATTACACACTTTGACAAATCTGATACCAGAAGATAATGCCCTGTAGCCTCCCAGTTGAAATAGGAAAAATACAACAAAACTATCAATCCTTTCTTTAACGACTGGCAACAGAAACCCAGAAGGCCAACAGATGATCAGATATAAAGGAACATCTGATGAAGTAATATCCTTACATCCGTGTTCACTCTCCTACAGTTTGTCAGAGGTCTCCATGGCTGAACCTGTTTTGTGCAGGTCTCTGATGCAGAAGCAGCAGTGAACATATAAGCTGTAATGAAACAGCTGTGTTGTCAACCAAGGTACAGAACCTCTCCCTTAGAGCTGACAAAGCACCAGAGGCAGTCACATGTGGAAAATACGGTCATTATTTAAAGCTGGCCTCAAGGAAGACCCAGACTGGCATCTCTGTTGTGCAAATTAGTAAACAATGTAATCAAGAACAGAATTAGTGGACATAAACGAATAATATATTGGGAAAGATTCAAGCTGACTGTTGTGAAAGGAAGTCTTGCCCTGCAAAATTAATGGAATTATTTGAGAGTACGAAGTAGTATAACATGGATAAAGGACAGCTTAATGATAGCATCTACCTGAGATTCCAAAAAGCTTCCACAAGTGCCTCACTTACATCTCTTGAGGAAACTAAGCAACCAAGCAAAAACAGGGAAAGTTTTTGCATGATGAAATAGCCAAGAAACAGTGACAAACTGTGTTCAGTTCCCACATTGAAGAAGGCCACCACAGGAATCCCACAGAAAATCTGCATTGGTTTATACTGTTTGATATATTCGTAAATTACCTCACAAAGGAGGTTAACGAGTAGTTAAATGACAAAGACTGTTGACAATACAAAGTTAGCCCTCATCTTCAGTGTCTGCTATAACTGAAGAATTAGAGAAGGACTGTGATATACAATAAGCAGAAGCAAAGAGTACACATTTACGCAAAGCAAAGCCTGTGTGTCTGCAGGCACGAGGAAATTCCAGGTTCCCATACAGAATCCCAGGCTCAGAGCTAATAATTGCCACCTGTAAGAATATCTAGATATATTACAGTCATTTGGATTGCTCAGTGCTCCATATGGATCAATAAATAGAAAAATAAATGGAACACTGTTGTGACAGTGTACAGAACTAATTTGTGCCTGTATTTCTAACACAGAGTGCTGGGTTAGTCCTCTTCCCTTAAAAAAAGCACACACGCAAAAGAAACAAACAAAAGAAAACCTCAAAAGACTTTTGAGTAAAATAAAAAAGAGCTCAGACAAAAGCAAGTTAAAGAAAGCACGGAAGACCTTCCATACAATAAACAACTGAATAGATAAGGCCTCATCAGTCTGGAAAAGAAGCTACTTATAGCAAAGAGGGAAAATAAAGACAAAGGCCTACAAAATGAATGGCTTGGAGAAGCTGTATAGAGATTTTTCACTGTCTTGCGCAATATAAGAATGAAGGGGCAAAAGACACTAGCTGAAGGCAGGCTCAAAACTAACAAAAGTGGGTGGCTCTTTGTGCAAATTATAATCAAGCTGAACTTGACACAGGATGTTGTTGACCCAAATGCTGACATGGGTTCCACGGTAGACTGCAAATTCATAAAAAGAGAAATACATTGGAAGTGATTAAATACAGAAACACAACCAAGGCAGCACAGACACCGAACAGAACACAAGCAGAAAAAGCTGGTATACAATCATAGAAAGTTTTGGGTTGGAAGGGACCCCTAGAGGTCATCTAGTCCAACCCCCCCG